TTTTTTTTTTTTTTTTTTTTTTAACTTCAGTCTCTTCTAAGTTCTATAGTTTGTCATTGTTGACAACTGATTTACTTGGATGGAAAAAAAATCCTATTAATCCTTGCTCTGTTCTTGACTTATATTCATCTTTCAACCTGGCAATCAACTTTTGGAGAATAAACATCATTAGAAAAAAGAAAAGAACAACTCTTACTTTTGCTTTATAACTAAGAAACAGATTCCGGATGTTCTTATTCTGGTTTTGGACTGGGAGCATTGATACTGACAAGTATTTTTCCAATAGATATTACAAAGTGGTCAGTTTTGTGGGCTGTTGGAATAACCACTGTGTGATCAGCTACTATACTAACTAGGGCTGAGGTCATTAAGTCATTTCACTACCAGCCTGGATTCTCCAGCCCATAGCCCAAGAAAGCTAGAAGAGGAGAAAACAGCCTGTAACAAGCAACCATTTGCATAACACTTTTTAAACTAGAGTCTTAAATCTCCAAAATGCCCATTTTGTTTAATAATTAAAGCCATACTTTTAGAGCGACTCAGTTAAGACTCTGTTCTGTGTTCAGGCACTTAACCAAAAATTCTAATCAAAGAAAATATTTTATTGCCTATTTGGAAGCAGCATGCTATTAAGATAGCATACTTTCTATTAGTCTATTTTTCTTTAAATTTAAACTCAAAGGACAAGAAGAAAATAATTGAAAACAGACTGCAGTTGCTATAAGCTTTGTGAGAAAGGACCACAATGGAGCTTACAGCCTTAGAGACATGGGTTATGCATGATGGAAGAGAGTACCTTGCCCTCTGATTTTACCACTCCCCATTGTTTTTGCTTATAAATGCAGATGGCAAACATGTACTACAACTTATAAAACCGAGCTGTCGAATCAATGTTTAGGTCACAACTTCCCTTGTAAATAAAGGTCGTTTCCTATAACCTTGACTTTAATGCGTCCCAAATACAGTTTTCCCCACCAGGCCCCAGGCACTTATCAGAGCACAGCAGCTACTCTGGGAACATTCGCTCAAGTTTGATGACTGGTTCCTACTGAAGAGAACTCAACCCCACGGAATTACAGTGTGTCATTCGAACTTGTCCAGAGCATTGAGAATCCTGTGCAGGGCAAAGGACACTTGATATTCAGGGTTAGTGAATATTGAACAGAATCTCAGAATATACTGAAAGTAACATTTATTTATTTGACATATAAGTTTGTTACCTCCCGACTTTTTGATTTGTAAAATATAAAGAATTTTACAAGTTGGATCTCACAATTCCTGCCCTAAGCTGCAGGCAGTTTCCTCCCACCTGCACCATTTACCTTCACCCCACCCACCCCCTGACCCCCCTCAGCTGCTTAGAGATTTCTTGCTGCAAGGATGGTATTTACCATCTTGCTCTAACAAGGATGTTGGTAATTTAAAATTTCTTTGGCTTGTGGCTTGTGATGTTATTATCCTGCTCTGTGGGTCTGTTTTCTTCCAGATTTTAGATTTCTGACATTCCGGGAGGTCTTTATGGACTGTTGTTTTTCCCTCTTTGCTCCTCCTTTGGTAAAATGTAGAAAATAATATTCAAAAGCAGTCCCTGGAGCTTTGGGAAAGGAATAACCACAGTTCTCCTAGGCAATTTTAGATCTTTGGTTTCTGATGAGTCTTAATGAAAGAGATATGCATTGCAATAAACATTAAGTTCAATAACCTTTTTTATTGTCTAAAAATGACAAACCACTTCAGCTCTGACCATGAGAAAAATCCAAATACCTTACTATAAATACTAACCAGCAGTGTCAAGACTGAGGCACTTGCCTCGGGCACAAAATTAAGGAGGCCTCAAGAAAAACAAGAAGCCCCCAACACCTCAGTAATCAAGATAAATGATATTTTAATGCAATATTTTAAAAATTAATGCAAAAATTCATGATGAACAAAATATCAAAATTTTCAATAGACAGGATCCGTAACAGTGCCTTGCCAAGCCATATTGGAGCCTTAGACAGGAGGAAAAATCAGTAATACTGATCCTATATTTATGGAGAATTTTGATTTTTTGTTTATCACAGAATTTTTTGCATTTTCATTTATTTAAATATTGCATTAGGATATTATGTATCTTGATTACTGAGCTTTCTGGCTCCCTATAAATTCTGCACCCAAGGCAAGGACCCCCACTTAACATCACCCTAGTCCAGGCCCTGCTAACCAGAATGGCAGTGGTTAGGGAAATAAGGTGGCATTATCTCCTCTCAAAATGTTAATTCGGGGGTGGGAGGATATGTATAGTTATGTTTAAGTCTAGTTATCATCCTTGGGCAACCAACATCCATCATTTTAGCTCCGGTTTGGCTGTAGTCTCAATTAGAAGGCATTTCCTAAATCCAAAAATGGAAAAGTTGTCTTTTTGTTAATTCTGTCTGAAGGTATCATATTATTAAAATCCATTACATCTTTAAAAAAAAAAAGGAAAGAAAGAAAAGAAAAGAGCCTATGTAGGAAAACTCATCTAGTTCAATTCATCAAAAGTTTCTCCTTCCACGGTAGTTTCCTCTGGCTCTTTCCCTGTTCGTCTTGGCAGGAGAGGGCCTGTGAGGTTTCTTACGGTATTCCACCTTTGTCCATCCTCCCTCGCTGACTTTGCTATCCTCTTCACTGGCTCGTGAGTCAGTCTCAGGGTGTAAAGGCATCCCTGGTATGGTCCTGGGTCGATGGCAGTCATTTGGGCTTCTCTTGAAGTCAGGTGACTGCTGAGTATTGAGTGCTGACTGAGAAACCCTGTAGAATTTTCCAGAATATCTTTCTCGTGAAGGTGTGGAATGTTGACTTTTCCCACTGTACCTTCCCCTAGGAGAAGAATTTAGTGATACGCTACCACGATCATATTTGTTCTTTCTTCTATCTGAGTATCGACCCCTCTCTAAAGAGCTGTCAGTTGGAAGACTGGAAAAGACACTGTCCCTGGAGTTGAGATGTAGAGAAGAGAAGTTTTTGGTCAGTCCATACTGAGTAGGAGAGGAGCTTCTGGATTGGTTTATGGGTGTAATCTGTTGATACTTAACGGGCACCTGGGTCCGCCTTACAGCAGCAGCATAGGAATCCTGGTCATTGAAATAGGGGAAGAACTGTGACCCCAGAATGGGATTGCTCTGGGAACGCTGTAAAGAAGTATTGGACGCAATCTGCCGCAACCTCAGAGTATCCAGCCACTGGCGATCAGCACCTGCAGAGGAAATGGAAATGAGCATCTTCTAAGCCACAGTAAAGCTGCGTGTCTAATTCATAAGGCTGTCTCAAGATAATTCAAGCCTGCTTAGGATGCTCCAAGCTTTACCATTCATAGAAATTCTAGGCTAGGTATAAGGACATTTCCTTTATTATTATAAATACTTCTTTAAAAGTAAGGGCATTGCAGGCGCCTGGGTGGCTCAGTTGGTTAAGCGACTGCCTTCGGCTCAGGTCATGATCCTGGAGTCCCGGGATCGAGTCCCGCATCGGGCTCCCTGCTCGGCAGGGAGTCTGCTTCTCCCTCTGACCCTCCTCCCTCTCCTGCTCTCTCTCTCATTCTCTCTCTCAAATAAATAAATAAAATCTTTAAAAAAAAAAAAAAAAGTAAGGGCATTGCACTAAATGGGTATACACTATATGCTTGGCCTCATTCCAGAGGCTTTACTTACATGGTCTCATTTACTCCTCTCAATGGTCTCAGGGTAAGTACAAATAATCTTACTCCATAAACCAGGAGACTGAAGCTTAGGAGGTCTGGCAACTTGCCTAAGGTCACTCAGCTAATAATTCCAGGTTCTTCTGCATCTAAATCCCATCTTCTTCCCACTTAGCCATGTCATCACTTCTAGAAATTGCTATTTGCATGTGTTTGGATGGTAGGGGCATGTTTAGTAAACGAAAGGTTTTTTGCCAGCAGGCACTTTTAAATCCTCAAGAACCCTAATGCAGATAAAAGAAATGGGGTTCCAGTGGTTGAGACAGCTGGGGATTGTCTGGAAGAAAGACAGCTCACATCTCTAGAGGAGAGATTCTGAGGTTCAGGAATAAGAAATGTTTTTTTTTCCCCCCATGAAAAGTGAAGCTTCATGGCACACAGGAAGAGAAGGTAAAAGAAAATGTAAATAAACAAGAACCATTTAGTAAGCTTTATTTCCGTGAATAAGCAAGTCACACCTTGGATCTTTTCTGCCTTCCCCAGGGCCTGAGTCATATTGCCCACATCCTTGAGTTCACTCCTAGTCCTCCCTGAGCTATTCTCACCATGCCTGTCAGGAGGAGCTTCTGGAGAGGAACAGAGCGTGCTCACTTCTCTCTCCAGCAAGCAGCCCCCCTCACTGCCCTGCACAGGTGACCACACCTCTGAGGTGAGTGACTTGTCCCAATACAGGTGACCTCCTGTGTCCAGACATTCCTCACAGCTTCACCCAACCACAGGGCCTTCTTGCCTTCCCCTTGACTTCTCTGAAATTGTCGCTTCTAACAGAGCCCTGATTTTGTTCGGTGTTCAACCTCCTCATGGAGCCATGTGCACTGGGAGAAGCTGACCACATTCTCGCTCTGGTGGCAGACTTTGATTAGCCTGAGCCAGATGCAGTGATGTCGTGGGCAGGAATGGACACGTTGCTCAGTTTCTGGCCAAAGCAACCCAAGGGATCATCTGCTGGGGCTGTGTAGGCAAGTCTTTCTCACCCCTCAACGTGAGAGCAGGAAAGGCATCGGCCCCTCGTGTCCTCTGCACACTGCCTTATCTTTACACCATGGCTGTGACTGCGAGGAGCTAGGCCGCAGGCAAAGGTAACAGACTGAGGATGGCAGAGTGGAAAGAAGGAAAGGTTTGTTCATTGTCCTTAACATGGGCGACCCAGCTGCTCTTACTGCACCTGAGCCCAGCCTTCTTCTGGACTTGCACAGAAAATAGCACATTTTATTACAGTTAAAACTCATGGTTTCAGAACTTTAGAATGCCTACATGCTGGTCCCCCAGTTTCTGACTCATCAGGTCTGGGGTTGGGTTTGAGAATCTGCATTTCTAACAAGTTCATATTGATCCTGAGGCTGCTGTTCCTGGGATTAGTGGTCCATTTGGGAGGAAGCCAGTGGAAGTTGGATTTTCTGTTACTTGCTGCTAAAAAATATATCCTAACTGATCCAGGTAGTGTCCTTTGAGTCTGCACATCAAAAGGGAAAAAGAAATAGGAGGAAGGAAGGGAGGCACACTAGCTGAAACTGGGGTAAGCCAAAGGGAGGTCACGCCCTCCTTTTATCCTGCAACCTCTCCTGTTAATTATAATCACAGGGAATGGTTGATCCAAAGCCATTCCACTGGGAGTTTAAAGGGTATTGACCATTCCTAACTCTCTTAGAGAAATAATTTGCTTTCTCCCAAAAGATTTAGATTTCAGAGAGGTGCAGGACACTTGTTAGACCTCTGCCCATTGTCCTCTTTGGGGAATGTCCCTAGCCTGTCTCCACCTACATGGCTACAGTTCAGTGCACCACCTGCCTCCCCCGCTGGGTATGTCCTCACCACCTGCGTCCCCCCACTGGGAGTGTCCTCACCACCTGCCTCCCCCACTGGGAGTGTCCTCACCACCTGC